CAATCGGCGAACAACAGTCGGGACTACTCTATAATAACAATGATTTCAGATACAAGCCATCGGAACAAACGAGAGATCCTAAACAAATCAGAACTCCATATAATTATAGGTAAGTGTTAAACGAAAAAAATAAAATCTTATAAAATATATAATTTAATAATTTACAACAAAATAAATGTACTATAAAATATTGAAAGCAACGAAACGTGTGAATAAGTGATTGTTAATAAACCGTAACTTTCAGATCGCAATCGCAACAGGAATATAAAGGCGATGGCTTTGACGGCGATTACGGGAGCCGTAAACTGAGCCCAGTTTTCAAAGCCCAGCAATCGATGAAATACGAGGACTCATTGGAGGCGAAACTGAAGCAGAAAGAAAACGCTAAACAAATGTATGAATCGAAACCAGAATATGATTACGACAGCAGTAATAGTGAACCGGAAGACGAAGACATCAAAACTGATGACAACTATAATATAAATCAAAATAAAAAGACTCCTTATTTGGCGCATAATATCAATAATAATCAGAATCGGAAAAATCAATTGAATGGCAGAGGTTTTGTTCAGAAACAAGAAGCCATTAGTCCCTACTATTACAACAGAGAAAGTGGTCAATCATTGCCTCCATATAACGCCGAGCCATTTGACGGATGGCCTAACTATTACTATAAAGCAAATGCCAATAATTGGCCACAACTGGCGGCCGCCGCCACTCAAATACAGGAGACAATAGACGGCCAAAGTATACTCAATCTATACAATGGATATAGGAATCAGAATAAGGAAAGCGTCCGATCGGCACTGTATTCGCCCGCATATGACTTGATGGCCGACACACAGCTCAAGGCTGCGTCCAATCCGGTGCCCATGCAGTCCATGCAAAACAGTAAGATATACGCGCCGTACGCCACCGCCGGCTCAACCTATCAGCCCATCAACCTTTTTGCCGGCTATGGACGAGACTATAGTCTGGTTGACTTGAATGGAGAGCTATATCCGGCTCCGTTGGTCTCGCAAAAGCCGCCCCGACAGCTACACAAACCTCTGCATCAAAGCGGTGGTGATTTGGCTGAACAGGCGAGTCG